ATATATTTATATATAAATATACACAAATATATGTATATATTTCAACTATTCAATATATTGCTTAGCCTTCTTGCCATTGTGCTTGATGTTACAAGATTTCATCTGTTGCGAGAGATACAGGCAAGAAACGAAAGAGATGGAACCCACCAGAAAAAAGATGACCCACTGAGGCACCTTTCTTCACAGACTCCATTTACGATTATGACCTGTCCATGTTTATAGCCCTGCTCAAGATGACACTGCGATTGCCTGATCCTATAATAGGTGGGCTCTCTTATCTCAAACGAGTACTCAGAACCACATAAACCACAGCCAGTCAATCACAGCTCCTTTCCAAACAGCATTCTGCAGACCTCTGATCTGGTATAACTGATTTATTTCTTACAGCTGCTTAGACTATTGATTTTTACATGAAAAGTAACAAGCACTAGACCAGCAGAGAGCAGCTAGAACCGTATAAATGACTACCACTTCAGAAAACTGTTAAAGTGATAACCACCTTCAGGCTTCGTTGTGTTACCTCAAAGTACACAAATAACGCAATAAAATGCATTGCTCATAGTGTTTAAGTAGCTCTTTAGACCATTTGAAGCAATTGAATGACAATTTCTCATCCGCTCCATCGCTTTTTTAAATTGCGTTTGTAATTCGTCAGTTATCGGGAAACCGAAGGTGTCAAGTGCGTATGGGTTTAGACTGTAGTCTAACGTTCTCTGTGAAGTCTTGGAGGAAATGGTTTGTGAAAATTGAAGGACAATGACCTAGAGCTGCAGTTGTGTCCCTGTGCAGACGGCTCACTCTGTGAAGTGCTTGCAGCGGACACAAAGAGGTCACCTATAGCTAGCCATCACAGATCAGCAATTCGTCAGTAATCAGTGTGGTCTCTCGAGCATGGGACCTTGGGAATGTCATGGCTTTGCTTGCTTGCGCAGTAAACTCACACACATGCATCTCTTGCTCGTTTCTACGAGTGTGTATTAAAGCGTCAGGAAAATAGAGAAAAAATAATAAAATAATAATATGTATATTATTTCAGAGCGCGTGCGCTCGTTGTTTGCACATCCCTGTGCTGCTTCTTCTTTTTTTTATTATGGGAATGTACATTCAGTCTTTGATTATCTATGTGTGCCTAGTGTGAGTATGTGCATAATGAAGTATTTTTTGTTTGTAATACATATACCAACTTTGAATCAGCTTTTCCCATGAGCGGGTACTTGATGCTGCCTGCCTGCGTTGGCAGTCCTCGAGGAAAATTAGTAAAACCAACTCTTGAGCTTGCCAGTTTTCCTGACCCAAAGCAACGTACCCACCCTCAAGTCACACATTAGCTTCATTTCACCCCCAAAGTCAGCAGCATCTGGCAGTTTTGCTGCTTTGGATAATTGTAAGCATATTACAGTGAGGCAAAGTTTATTGACTGTAGCAATTGTCTGAAGTGTGGTACTACTGTACTTCCAACGCATTCTCATCCTTTAGCGTCATATAGAACGCTATATGACAAAACGGCGCTATACTATGCACATGGCACCCGTTATCGTTAATATAACACTGTGTGTTAATATAACAACCTAGCGCTGTGATGGTTAGGTTTAGGTGTGGGGTAGGGTAGGGTAGTCTCATATTACGGTAAAGGATTTATGACGCCTTGGGTTCGCGTGAATATTAACGATAAAGGGTGCCATGTGCGTAGTATAGCGCCGTTTTGTCATATAGCGTTATATGTGACGCTAAAGGATGAGAACGGGCTCGTATTTCTGTGCGTCTAGTGGCAGTGGCACTAGTAAAAAAATGTTCTATGTGTTTTAAACAGTTTCTGCTGCTGTTTGGAGAAAGAATATTTTAAAATATACAGTAGTCAACATTTGAAGTGGATCAAAAAGTTAATCAAAGTTGTCCTAAGACAAGAACAGGTTTTGTTAAAAATTCATGTATAATTTTGATGTAAGGTTTTGATGATCCACTTCAAATGTTGACTGTACTGTACTTAATGAAAAACATTTTCTTATAAGAAATAACTTAAAATAACTTTATATTTTTATAAGACAGAAGTTTACTCACAGCCTGTATGATATTTTATTTGTTTTCCATTTGACTTTTATACGATTTTTTCCTGTAGGCATTTATAATTTATTTATTTCAATGATTCACTCTAGGTCTATATTTTGTGTTTGTGAGATAAGAAAGACTGTTTTCTACATTACAAAAAATATGATATAATTAATATAATATAATATGATTTTGAGCAGAAATGCAGAAATTGTGGAATCCAGTCATAAAAATGGGATTTACTGTATAACGTGAAATGTCACAGAAATTTAGTAAAATTTGGATGAATAAATTAGAAATATAGGGCTGTACACTTCAAGTCTTGGACTAGTGACCTGTGAATATTAAATATTTGGTTTGGTTTACCTTGATGACATTATGAAAATTGTTACTAATAATAATTATACAGTTTATTAAAACACATTTTTTTATATACATCACACTTTCGTGCATGTTTTAATTTAAACAGTAAACCTCAAGTTTCAAAATAAACTTTTCAAATAAAACATATTTGAATTAAACCATTAAAACAGAATTGTGAATTATTGTAGTTATTTGTATCAACCAAAATTTCCACAATATTATTTTGTGGAGTCAACCTACGACTGGCTTACTTTAACACTGAACAAAATTACACACCTCACATTTTTAGAAAATTAATATTATGTTCAGCTTGAAAGGAATGAAAGGTGTGACAAGGTCAAGCTTTGTCCTTGAGATAAGGCTAGTGAAGGATCTTTGGTAATTAAGTGCTGCTCATGGCTCACTAACCAGCTCTCTCTGTAGTCTTCAGAGGTGTTCAACCCATAACATAGTGGCTCTGGTTCCAGAGGAAGATAAGAGGCTGGGGAACATGGCCTTGTGATGTGTGAGTTGGTAAATCTCTATGCTTGTTTCAGTGTAAGGTAGCTTGGCTGGGGAGATATGGGAGACTTAGATGAAATCCTCTTGTTCTGATGGGAGGCTAGGGCCTGGGATTTGATCACTGTTGCAGAGAAGAATTTCGCAGAATATCTCTTTTTTTCAGATCAGTTTCAACTCAATGACTGTTGGACCATTTTCTGCTCTCTTTTGGTTGGTTTCATGATTTTAGACCCTTTTTCTGTTTGACTTTTTATTTTTATTTTCCATTTTAATTTTAGTTGTATTTAATTTTGTGTGCTTTAGTCATTTTTGTGTGAATTTTATTAAGCCTAAATTTTTAGTTGAATTAATTTTAGTACTTCATCTAATATTTACAGTTTTTTTCTATTAAACAATATCAGAGCTGTTTTATATTAGATCTCTGTACACTATTCGAGTAAGTTTTATATTGTTTATATTGTTTTATATTAGATAAGTATACACTATTGTATATTTGTTGAACTTTTGAAAAGTCAATGTATTCTAATTGACCATATTTATGTTGGTAATGCCCTTTTTTGGCCCTAATGTGCACATTCGATTCGGTGCACATTATTAACATTTTTGTTAGGAGGAAATAACTTCCTCAGCCTCTTAAATAACTTTCTCCTTTTTATTTGATAGCACGGACCCACTTTATAGACCATTTTGCAAGATGTAAACAACACTGGTCCAGAAACACTTCCTGTTTCAGTTTGTAACCGTTTTCTTTATTTCGCATGTAAAGAAAACATCTTAAAGATATTTGTTTAACTTTTTGATTGAGTTTTATATGTTCTGTTGGTTGTATTTTATCCCAGCTTTTATTTAGTGTTGAAAAACTGAAACAGGAAGTGCTTCTGGACCAGTGTTTACATCTTGCAAAATGGTCTATATTAAGTGGCTTTAAGTACTATGCACTTACATTGAAATTAATAATTTGATACAATGGACTTATTGTGTACATACATGTTTTACATTTGTATTTATAAATTTTAAAAATACCAGGATGTAATTACAGCTATAATTAATTAATGAAATTACATTTCTAATCACAGTTGACCCTTCCCTCACACCTTAACCTACCTTTAAACTGACCCACACCACTACACCTGTCCCTAACCTTAACCGTACCTCAATAGAAGCAAACAAACAGGAACACAATAATACATTGTACTTTATTTTTTGATGTAAGTACATAGTACTGAAAGCCACTTAATATAAAGTGGGACTGATAGCACAAATAATATTTTTCATAGTTTGGCTCCATGTCCATAGTCATACTCCATAGCATGTGAGTATGATGGTCCAGCTTATTGATTTACTGTAGGTATATTGATTGTAAGAAAAGAAAAAAACAGAACTAAATTTGGCATACAAGAATAGTACACCCAGACCAGGCGTTTACATGTGTTCAATTGACGCACATGATAAAGCCGAACATGTGTTAAATCACTGACTGAATTGGCTCTTATTGGTCTCCCTCCCAGAGAGCTGACAACATCATCAATTGCTCTCCCTTTAGGCTCCTTTACCCCTGCTACAAATTTACTTGACTTAAAGCAAAGCAGTCTTTATCTCACGCATACAAAAACGAAAGTAAGGTTCATAAATTCACAGTGATGTGTACCTGGGTGTTTGTAATTGCTCCCAATGGAGCTCTGTGTTGAATTAATTCGAACTCTCTTCCCAATTAAACTATAAACACGACTGGAAGAAATGACAGCGACACACAGTGCACTTAGCCTCATAGTGTTTGCTGTTTGTTGTTTGACTCTAAAGCATGAGTCTTTTACTGCTCAAGACTTTATTTCTGAACCAGAACAGTTGTTATCAAGTGCGAGTCTACCATTGTTTCTCAAGTGATCCAATTTTCTTGCCGTCTCCAGCAGACTAGATTTAGAAGCGTGGTGGTTTGTTTCATTGTTGTTGAAGTAATTTCACCTTCCACTTAAGCTTGACATGTGAAAAAGCAGGTACATCTGAACTAAACTTTAAATTTGGTTTGCACCAAAACCTCTTGTGTTATTGTGTATGCCCCTGTACTTACCTTCCTCTCTTTTCTTGAACAGCAAAAAAGACATGCGCTACGACAGACTTTGCTTGTAAGAATGGGCAGTGTGTCCCGGCTCGATGGAGGTGTGACGGAGAACCGGAGTGTCCAGATGGTTCGGATGAAGCAGACTCCACCTGCAGTGAGTACAGTGAGTGTTTGTGCATGTTTTTTTATGATGCCGAAAATTAATTTTCTTTTTTTTTAAAAAAAAACATTAAATTATTACCTCATCAAACTTTTGAACAGTAGTGTAAATATAAATGTGAACTAATGAATTAGAGCATAGTTATATAGCCTTGAATTATTTCTTCATTTAGCAAGCATTATGTCAAGGGGTTTCAAGTAATTAATCAAGTAAATAGTCAGTGATGTCCAACACATAATAAAGAGCAGCGAGTTGCTCTTTTAATAAGAGCACTTTATTTTGAATCAAAATGTTTTCTTGATAAAGTAACAGGAAAAGTCAGGCTTATAGGAGTGTTTGTTGGCAAATAATCCTTCTGTATGCGTTATTGCTCATTTATTTAAAGCTACAGTCTGCAGTTTTTCCTCTTTGTCGCCATCTCTGTTCAAAATCTGCAGTCATTCGTGGAATTATAAACTTTACCTGAGTTGTACTTCAACACCACACAGTGTGGATGAACACACTGTTTGAGGAGAGTGCGAGGCTGTCAGTCACCGTGCCGGTAGGGATGGTTGATATATTATCCTTTGCAATATACCGGTAAAAATTTTCCTCACGATAAGAATAAATTTTCCTACGATAATAACTATGAAGTCTATGGCAGGACCCGTTCGCTGCTTGGCAGAAGGCGGATGTGAACCATGGCGGAAGGTGCATGTAAAGCTGAGGTGAATTTTATGGCTAAACGAGTAACTACCTCTACAATCTTCACCCGCCCATCTCGCCGAACACTGACTGAGCACTTGAGTTTCGCTCTCCGTCAAGTGATCCATAAAGCCCACTATATCAGTTCATCTCAATGTATACACTAGTGTGAGGCGCACGACTCGCTGAGAGCGCTCAGTGTTTCTCACACACTCGAGGTGAGAGAATCTTACATACCACGTAGAATTGAAGTGTACGTTACCTCTCCATGTAAATTATATTATATTGTTGTATTTTTCTGTAAAAATAATGGAGTTCACTTGGAATTATTCAGCTTTTATGCGCAAGCAGAAACGAATGTTCAAACGCGGACGTGATCATATTCATGAACCCACCAGCTCATAGTGAATCCTTAGTGTATTCGTTGTTTCTTTTTTACCTTTCAAACTGGTAAATTATTTGAAATATTAATGCGTGATGTTTTTCAGTATAGTTTATATACCATTTAAACATTATCTTTTTTTTATTATTTTATGAACGGTAATTGGTATTCTATAGGAGCTTATTTGATGAAGGGTACATTTTACTTTGCATGCAGCCATCACTTGTAGCCAAAAACAGTGGTGAATATGATATTATACTTATATCGTTCGTCATTGATATCGTTATCGCAATAAATGTCAGAATTTCGTGATATATTTTTAAGTCCACATCGCCCATCCCTATTCAGAATCACAGATTATTCTTTTTGGAAGTATGACCAACAGAATAATTTTCACCAGAAATGTCATCTGAACTAGTAAGAAACATCGGTAACGCTTCCTTTTACAGTACAGTAGTTATAGTGTACTTACAGTGTACTTACCTAGAAAGTACTGGCTAATATAAGGTAAGTACATGGAACAGGGGTAGGTTTAGGGGTAGGTTCAGGGTTAGTACTAGTTATTACCCAGTAATTGTAGTTACTAAAATAAGTACATAGTATTTACATGGGTAACTGGACTGTAAAAGGAAGCGTTACCGAAACATCCAGTTTTGTTCTGGTTTTGACATTGCAGTAAATCGCGCTGATCTAAAAATTGCGTATAATTTATCATATCATGCAAAACCGTACAAATTATACTTTGTTGTCAAATTGTTAATGTTAACAACGTCAGCATGGCGTGACAACATTGTAATGTCCTTCCGATATTTATCCTTGTTTTTCGAAGTCTCTCTTTTTTATGTAGCCACTCCGCAATCCGAACGAAGTCTTATGCATTTTACAACTAGTTGTCACTGGTGATGGTTGTTTGAACTTTTCTGGATCCGCCATCAAAATGATAAGTTTAATTATATCAAGTGCTGTGAGAAAAGGCTATAAATATTCACCTCCAGAATCCTCACACACAACATACAGTAGCTTCCTAGCCGAGACTCCTTCTTTATGTGGCGTAATGACACAAAGACATGCTTGAATCTCCTGTGGAAAACCACCAGTACCACTGGAAATAAAAAAATAAAAACATTATTATAAGCTTACCGCTTTGAATCGAGCTAAGGCAAGCAGATAGTTTTGAACACTGGCTGGTTATGTATTTTCTCAAATATGTGTTTTGGATAATTTTCAACCCCAAAAAAGCTACGGATTGCAGTTTCAATTAAATCAGGATTGATTAACATCATTTGGAGCTCCCCCTTAAGGTGTCTACTGTCAAAAGCAGGTGTAAATACTCAGATTACTGCACACATCCTTATATTGAAACAGCCTTCTTTGTTGTTGTAAACCTATTTGTCATGCACATTAAACCAAAATAATGCTAGTGGAGTTTTGACTTTTATTTGCATGCATCCAGTTCTTTTTAGTTTGTTTTTCTACCAAGAATCGCCTGTGGCTGTTTGGCAATCTCAATGATTGTAATTGTAATGTAAGCTGTGGACTGAGCCTTTCTCTCTGGCCATGTGATGTGATTTTGCCTTTGGCTGAATTAGGCTCCAGCTGCTAATTGGCAGAAGTAATGCTCACTCTCCTCGGCATACCCCTCACTTGTGTACTAGTAATTTATATTGTCCACTCAGATCATGAGCAAATCACATTTTACCCATTCTTTGTGCTCTGATTCAGTTGTTACTTCATTACTGCATCAGGGGCAGTTTCTGGCTCACTTTTCTCTCTTTGCCAATATCCAAAGTATCGTGGAGCTTCCAGTTCAATGATCACAAGATCAGATCTACTGTGATTTGACTGTTTTTTCCTCTGGCTACAGTATCCTGGCCAGGAAGGGAGGGAGACGAAGGCTATGTTTGGAAATGTATACTACAATGGCATATAGTATGCTCACTCTGCACAGTATGTACATTTTCTGTATGCATAGAATATCAGAATGACCTATCACATTGCCAAAATGTTCAGTTTGCAACAGTGTAAACTGTGCTCAATACTGTAGCCTACAATCCAATGCATTTACCTTGAACTTCCCTTAAATTTTATAATCTTGTTTGCATAGTTTTTTTTTATTTTTTTTTTTACTTCTTCTCCAGATTACTGATACCTATGACTTAATTTGGCTATTACTATAATTATTTTTTTTTCTCGGTATTGTCCAGATATCTACCAAATAGCAGATACCAAAAGTAAATCTTGTGATATAAAAGGTCATGAATCATGATATGGTCTTTTTTTATTTTTTTTATTTTGCATTTGCATTGCATTTTGCATTTGGTCCTACACTCTAAAAAATGCTGGGTGGTTTTAACCCAATTTTGGGGTCAAATATGGACAAATCCAGCCATTGGGTTACATTTTTAAATTAAATTTTTAACCCAATATAATGTTTGAGTTTGTCCATATTTGACCCAAAATTGGGTTAAACCAACCCAGCATTTTTTAGGGTGTAACAATCATTATTATTGGGTACATCCTTCTGCCTCTCTTCTTTGGTATGTTCATATTCTGGATGTATCTAAAAATGAAGTGGAATGAGAATGACTGACACTTGTGCCATTAAGGGATGGAAGTTGTGCTAGTTTCAAATCTCCCACCCACAGAGACCATCACCATATTGACATATGTGTGTTCTATTACATTTGTCTCAAATATGATGTGGATTTCACCACCAAATTATTTTTTGCAGAAACTATTTTTGCTTGATTTGCTTGTTAATGTACATCCAAATCAGCCTACATGAATATATAAATGCTAATCCAATGCATTGAGGTAAAATAATTTGTATGGCTTTGAGACATACACACAAATACATAGATGTATTCCCACTAGTCCAAGGTCAAAGCTTGCAGCTGTATCCAGACACATTTCCCAATATCCCTTGTCTGTGTTAGATTGCTTTTCACAATTGCTCTTAGCTTTGTTTGGTGGCCTCTACAGAGGTCCTCCTCCTTCTATCTGAGCAAAGTCACACAGAGTCACATGAATCATAGTTCTTCACAGCTTCTTTACACAAACCCCTCTTTGTGCCTTGAATAGGTCTAAATTCCTCAACATTAGCCTCCCTCTGGAAATGCAGAGTATAAGTACTATCATACTATTACAGCAGACTATCATGTTGAGCTCAACCTGGTAATATTAACTGAGTAATATTGAAAAACGACCCAGGCATATCTTTCTCAGTATTCTCAGTATGGCATATCTTGATCAATGGGAACAGCAGGGCAGTCATTATGGTTGCATTAAAATATAATAAACAGGAGCATGTGGACATGACTCAGGTCCTTGTACAAAAATGAATCTGGGATCATATGCTGGCATGATTATGAAAAATGAGATGGGTACCTTGCCTTGATTGGGTGGATATTAATCAGCTTGATGAAGTGTGTGTTTACGTGTATTCCAAAGGCACACTGTTTGTGTGTGTGCGTGTGTGTGTGTGTGTGTGTGTGAGAGAGAGAGAGAGAGAGACAGAAAATTGGGGTTGGGTAAAGAGTTATTTCATGGCCCTTTCAGCTGTTGCAGGACGGATTTGCATAGGATCTCTGGTCAAACTTCTTTGTTTATATACTACTACTGTTTTGTTTAAATGCTACTGTTTTTCAGCAGTCATTACTCTGTGCCATATGATGATTCAGAAATCATTCTATGCTGATTTGGAGCTCTTGAAACTCAAGTTTAAGCTTAATTTTGTTTGTTGAAACTAATACTTTTTTCAGGATTCTTTGATGAACTGACAGTTCAAAAGAACAGCATTCATTTTAAATAATGTATTAACAATTTAATGAATGAATGAATGAATGAATTTGTTTGTTTATTTATTTATTTTTAAATCAACAGCTAAACCACCTACAAAAGCCCTTTCAACCAACCAGTGTACCCTAGTAGCCCCATA